GGTAGTTTTATTGACTGAGAAAGGGCCATTTTGGTGAACATTAACTGAGAGGCTGGAGAGAGAGAAAAAATTATTAGCACTTATCAGAACTGCCAACAGATAAGAGACAGAATTTATTTTGCTTTTTCCACTTTTGATTTTGCTGCCTCTAGAGGGAACGTGATTTGCCAATGTTCCAAGTTTAAGATGCTGTTTTGGGCAGACTCCCAATGAAGAGAATTAGCAATAAATAAGTGCTTGCACTGATGATGGAAGAGCATTAGTCCTGAGGTAATGACAGCTGAGATATTGTAAATTTGTTGTGAGCCATGCATGGTTTTGTCAATACGAACCCAAGTCGTTCAGAAACATCAGCTAATGCTAAGTAATAGCCGACTGGCAATTTCAATGCGATCTGATCATGCTGTTGCCACACTGACATTTTGATGCACTCCTTTGGCACAAAGTTTTGATTCCAGCATTGCGCTGTGCTACACTTTTGGATACTCTGCGATTACACTGTGGATAGGTTCGTGGCAATGAGATGGTCTCTGGGCACTACAGCACTCTTTGGAGGCGCTGCATATCACAACATACCGATACTTCAAAGCAACTTGACTACAAGGTGCTGTAGAGTGAAGGTATTGGGAGAATGTGCCTTTGTGACCAGGACGTTAAAAGCAGCCAGGTTTCCACAGGTTCTCAGTTCAGGTGTTTTGCAGCATGACGGACTTGCAGCAACGGCCTTGGCAATGCTCTCACCTAAGTGCAGGGCTGTGGGGATGTGGGATGGGGGCACCTCAGCTGGGGTTTCTATAACCCAACACTCCCTCCCAGGGACAGATCCAGGGTGGGGTGCACTGGTGCACTTCTCCCCTCCCCCAAGATTCCTGCTCCACCCCAAGTTTAAAATCAAGTGCCTGGCTGTAGGATCAGTATGTCTTGTCAGGCAGCGCTGAGGGAGCCACTTGACTTGATGGCTCATTGTCAGCTACCCCATCCCTTCTAAACTCTTCCTTCCAGGGGTGTTAACAACCCTCTCTCCTTTTTTAAGGGCCTTGATGCTCCACCCGTCCATCCAGTAGAGCTGTGCGAAACAGCGCCGTTCTGTTTCGATTTGCGTTTCAACGTTTTGACGGAACAGTGTTTCATTTCGAATTTTGTTTCTATTCGAAACTGCTGTTCCCTTTTGTTTAGTCAAAACAGTTTTGCTGTTTTGACGTTTCGCCCATAGGCTATAATGGGGAAGCACGAAACAGCCTATAACCTTGTCATTTCTGGCCTGATTTGGATGAAACTTGCAGGAATGGTAGTACCTTCTCAGGGCATGAAGCCTGCCAAGTTTCAAGGAAATAGGTGCAGGGGTTTGGGGGAAACTGCACCTCAAGCTGCGGACCAGCAAAACTCGTGACATGGGTGACACTGTGTGTGTTAAGGCGCAGTGGGGTGAAAGCTGCAGGCCTGCTAGCCCCTGCTGAGGCCATGAAGCCTGCCAGCTGTGGAGGAGATCGGAAGGAGCTAGGTGCAAGGGGAGTCTGGGTTCTGGGGCCCTGCACCTCTAGCGGCTGACAAGCAAAACCCATGACATGGGTGGGTGACAGTGTGTGTGTGTGTGTGTGTGTGTGAAGGTGCACCCTCACTCAACTGACACCAAGGCAGAAAGCAGGGCAGTTCAAACAATGCTGCCTTTTATGCAGTGTTTCCATCCATCCCTCCCCCAGAGCACTGGGATTGGAAAAGTCCTCAGGAAAGGTTGACAGTCACTGGCCAGCTACACTGTCAATAATGAGAGCACTCCTTCCCCCCTTTTCCCCCTCCCTCTCCTTACTTTAGTTTCTGTTTCCCTGCAGACAAGCCCAGCTCCAGCTTCAAAACTTGAAACTTAAAAAAAATTTTCAAATGTTTTGACTTGCCTCGTTTCATTTCGAGGCTGTTTCGAAGCTCTCTGTTTTGTTTCAATTTTGCTGTTTTGAGCTTGAAACGAGTCGAAACAGTGTCAAAATGAAACTGCTGGTGAAATTTCACACAGCCCTACCACCCAGCCTTTGTTCTGCCCTGCTTGTCTGTGGGCTGCTCCTGGTTGGGAAGCTCCTATTTCATAGCCCTGTGGGTTGTTTTTAACTCATCCCAATGGCGTTGTGTGTATTTTGGCTTCCCTCCGAAAGGGAATAAGGCATCCCCAGGAAGCAAGGGAACCATCTGGTTTCTTTTGAACTGGAGAAAAAGGTGCGCCACGTAGGGTCGCCAACTCTGTTTAAATCTACTCCAGGAGGTTTCCAGAACACAAATGTGCCCATGTGCTTGTGTACATCAGTTACGGATTACGGTGCATCCACTTTATATCAGGAAGGCAAATGCACATCACTATTACATTTAAAATACCCCCTGGACTACTGTATAAATCAGATTCGACATTTCATATTTATTTCATATGACCCCAGCTAGATGCTTATCTAACCTCCTCTTGAAGACCCCCAGGGTAGGGGATAGCACCACCTCCCTTGGGAGCCCATTCCAGACCTTGGCCACTCTAACTGTGAAGAAGTTCTTCCTAATGTCCAATCTAAATCTGCTCTCTGCTAGCTTGTGGCCATTATTTCTTGTAACCCCTGGGGGTGCCTTGGTGAATAAAACCTCACCACTTCCCTGAAGAGGTCCGTGTCCCCCAGTCTCTCCTCATAGGGCTTGGTCTGCAAGCCCTTAACCATACGAGTGGCCCTTCTCTGAACCCTCTCCAGGTTATCCGCATCCCTCTTGAAGTGCGGCGCCCAGAATTGCACGCAGTACTCCAACTGCGGTCTGACCAGCACCCGATAGAGGGGAAGTATCACTTCCTTGGATCTATTCGTCATGCATCTGCTGATGCATGATAAAGTGCCATTGGCTTTTCTGATGACTTCGTCACACTGATGACTCATGTTCATCTTGGAGTCCACTAGGACTCCAATATCCCTTTCCGCTTCTGTGCCTCCAAGCAGGTCATTTCCTAGGCAGTAGGTATGCTGGACATTTTTCCTCCCTAGGTGTAGCACTTT